GCGGGGCATTACGTGGACAGGTGCAAGGAGAGGCAGGAGGGAAGAGGGAGAAAGGGCGTTACCTGAGGGTTAGACCTGCCCAGACACACATGAAAGAAAAAAAACCAAGAGATCTGACAGCTTTACTCCCTGTTTCTAAAGCGCTAATAAAACGTACATGCATTACCCTTTCCTTTTATCGCCTCGGTTACAAGGAGGGGAATTTTTTAAAGATGGACAGGTGCAAGGAGAGGCAGGAGGGAAGAGGGAGAAAGGGCGTTACCTGAGGGTTAGACCTGCCCAGACACACATGAAAGAAAAAAAACCAAGAGATCTGACAGCTTTACTCCCTGTTTCTAAAGCGCTAATAAAACGTACATGCATTACCCTTTCCTTTTATCGCCTCGGTTACAAGGAGGGGAATTTTTTAAAGAAATTGGCATAGTCAGGGAGGTGCTTTCCCCTCTGCAAATTCTCCCTCGTATTTAATTTATCGCTAGCATGACACGAAGCTGATCTATAGCGTTTGGATATCGACAGAACGTCTTAAAGACATAAAGGGGCAGGCCTGCGCTTTGGGTAAATATTTTCAAAACAGGCAGAGGTGAAGAAAGAAAGAGGGTGAGAGATGGCCCGTCTAATCCATCTTCTCTGGGGCTTTGCATTGGGCCCATCGCCAAAGTCTGTGCGCAAGTAAGTTAGTAATGATATTACCTATTGAAAGTACGCTGCTGTCTTTCTACAGTGTTTTCAACCAATTTAGGACTTTACTATCCTGTTCCAGCTAGGCACGTGCATTTTTTCAGCCCCAGGGTAGAATGGTTCGTGGATGCAAACTTGTTCCTGGAACAAATGTTCATCAGTAACAATGATAAAACAATGGTATATTAAAACTAAGAGCTTGACCTTTGCTTTCTTTTATTTTTGTTTTGTTTTGGTTTGGTTTTTGACTGTATAATGAATTTTAGGGACCCATCTTAGCATTTAAGAAACGCAGTGCATTTCCTTGCTAAGGTTAAAAAAAGGTATTATGGTGTAAAACTCCAAGATGTCTCATAGTTCATTCTTTCAAAAGTTTGAGAGAATCGCCTGGCAGTTTAAGGTTTCATTTAAACAAAAAAGTTGTAGAGAATCATGAAAGATTAGTTCTTCAGTCTTGCTCCATGGTCTTTTCAGTCACAGTCTAAATCTAGGAGATCAAATGGATTTGACTGCTTAGCTTTATTTGCTATGGAGAGCATAGGGCTAATTAATTGGCAGGTGCTTTAAAGCAGGTAATGCTACACCTTTTCATCATTGCAGTCCTAAGTACTGCCCCTGTGTGCACCTGAATTATAAAAAAGGCCGCTTTAAAGCAAGTGATTTACTGTGGAAGGATTTAAAACAGAAAAAACTAACACTAAATACAATGATTAGATAAATCACCTCAGAAGAGAGCACAGGCAGACCTGCTCTGAAGGCAGTTACAGATAGACGTTATATTATTTTACCTTTCAGATAACAGGAGCCTGTCATGTGGTGGGATCCAAAAATCCACCATAATCGAGATTTCAAAGCACATCTGTGTAAACATTATCACATCAGTGTAAAACATCAACCAATGAGCTTTCTCTTTGAACCAAATCTACTTAATTGCAGTGCTAAATCAAAGAAATAGATCAAAGTTGAATAAACTATATGGCACCGATTTCTCAAGTAGCCTGTACACTGATTACTCACATATACCTGAAACGTTTGAAACACGCATCAAGTATTTTTATTGACATGAATGGTAGGTCAAGATCAAACCGTGATTAGTTCATCACAGCTGCCACGTTCGGTGCAGGACATGCACTCGGAGGGTGCTGCTGAGTAGAGGGAGGTAAACTCTTCTGAGCCAAGAGGTGCCCCGTTAGGGAGAAGGTTCCCGGACCCCGGCAGGACTCCCTGAGCCCCCTGAACAGGAGAGGGCTCTTCTGCTTAGATGGCACCACTGTCCCCAGCAGAGAAGGGCTTTTTAAATATCTTCAGCCATCACATACTGGAAGACCCTTATGGCTAACTAACTCTTTTCTGTTATATAATTGAGACGTTTCAAGTAGAGTGGACTGTGTAACGTCGATCTTTTCCGAGTGGAGTCTTTAATGTCTGGGCACTAAACCGGTTATGCTATTTTATAAAGTACCAGAAGAGAAACAAAAAGATAAGAATTTTTTTTTGTTGTTTGCACTAGTCATGTGACAGGAAAAGATAACACTAAAGTTTTTTTTTTTGCACCTTCTGAGACTATATCATGGGAAGT